GGTAGCATCAACCGCGGGGTAAGTACTCGTAACTCTCTTAGGGACACCGTAGGTCACATGGCTTTTGTTTCTCAAATTGAACCTACAACCATTTCCGAAGCAATAAACGATGAACATTGGACCTTGGCTATGCAAGAAGAGCTAAACCAATTCAAACGGAATGACGTTTGGGAATTGGTGCCAAGACCCGATGATCGAACGGTTATTGGTACGAAATGGGTGTTCCGTAACAAACTCGATGAAAATGGAATAATCACTAGAAACAAAGCTAGGCTCGTAGCTAAAGGCTACAATCAAGAAGAAGGCATTGATTTCGAAGAAACTTATGCACATGTAGCACGCTTAGAAGCTATTCGTTTACTTCTTGCTTTTGCTTCGTCTATGGATTTTAAACTTTATCAAATGGATGTTAAGAGTGCCTTCCTCAATGGTTTTATTCAAGAGGAAGTGTATGTTGACCAGCCCCCGGGGTTTGAAGACTTTGAGTTTCCCGACCATGTCTTCAAACTCAAGAAAGCGCTCTACGGTCTTAAACAAGCACCCCGTGCTTGGTACGAACGTTTGAGTAAATTTCTTTTGGATAGTGGTTTCCAAAGGGGAAAGGTAGACACCATAGTTTTAAAAACCGGACCGGACCGGCCGGTCCGGACCGGGAACCGGTGAACCGGCCACCAAAGCGGTCCGGTCTGGGCATTCAGACCGTTTCAGCAGTGAACCGGCGGAAACCGGTTAAAACCAGTGAAACTGGGCGGTTTTACCGCCGGTTTTTTAACTCCTTTTTGAAGTTTTTTAAAAAACACATCACTGGGATTCGAACCCAGGATGTATTGTTCCAAGGGGCAGCCGCAGAACATCTACGCTACAAAGCTTGGTGGTCATTCCCTACTTTTCGTTTGTAATATTCTTAAAATAAATTTGTTATTATCAAATACTCTAAATACATATACATATTTAGTTTTTTTTAAAGGAAAATTCAAAACCCATTGATGTAATTGATAGAGAGTGCATATCACACAAATATTATATATATATATTTTTAAATAATAGGTAAAATGTTTAAAAAAAATTCAAATAACATTTTATTTATAAACTTTTTTCAATAAGTAAATTTTATTTTTTATTTAATGACACAACTCAAGTAAATTAAGTTAAATTTTAAATTTAATAAAACATCAATTCTTTATTTATAAATAGAGGAAATATTATTTTATTTACTTATATATTAATTTTTTAATTCAATGTCACAACGTATTTATCAATACATACATACATACATACATACATACATACATATATATATATATATATATATATATATTTCTTTATATTATTTTATTTATATATATATTTATCTATTTATTAAAAATGTTTGAACCACCGGTTCAACCACTTGAACCACTGGTTCGACCAGTGAACCAGTGAACCAGTGCCTTGACCGGTTTGATCACCGGTTCGGTTCTGAAAACTATGGTAGACACTACACTTTTTATCAAAAGTAAAAACAATAATATCCTTTTGGTTCAAGTTTATGTAGACGATATTATATTCGGTGCTACTAACGAGTCTTTGTGCAAGGAATTCTCAACTTTAATGACAAGCGAATTTGAGATGTCCATGATGGGTGAGCTTACATTTTTTTTGGGACTTCAAGTCAAGCAAATGAAAGATGGCACGTTCATTTTCCAAACCAAATATTGCAAGGAGCTCCTAAAACGATTCGAAATGGAAAACGCCAAATCCATGGCGACCCCGATGAGCACGTCCGACCATCTAGACAAAGACGAAAAGGGTAAGGAAGTAGAAGTCAAAAAGTATCGAGGTATGATCGGATCCCTTCTTTATCTTACCGCTAGTAGGCCGGATATCATGTTTAGCGTATGCCTTTGCGCAAGGTATCAATCATGCCCGAAGGAATCGCACTTAACGGTGGTGAAACGGATCATGAAATACCTTGTAGGAACGGTTAACGTTGGACTGTGGTATCCTAAAGGCTCTTCGTGTCTTCTTGTTGGTTACTCCGACTCGGACTTTGCCGGTTGCAAATTGGACCGTAAAAGTACGAGTGGGACTTGCCACTTACTTGGTAGCTCTTTAGTTTCATGGTTTAGCAAGAAACAAGTCAGTGTTGCGTTATCCACAACCGAAGCAGAATATGTAGCCACCGGTAGTTGTTGTGCTCAAATCCTTTGGATGAAGCAACAACTCGTGGACTATGGCCTTAGTATCAGTCACGTTCCTCTTCGTTGTGACAATACTAGCGCCATTAGCTTGACGAAGAACCTCGTTCTTCATTCAAGAACGAAACACATTGACATTAGGCACCATTTCATTAGAGATCATGTTCTCAAAGGTGATGTCGAAATTGAGTTTGTTGAAACACACAACCAATTAGCCGACATTTTCACAAAACCTTTAGAGAAAGATTCGTTCTTCCGCATTCGTAGTGAACTCGGAACCCTTGACTCCACGATGATCTAATTTGTGCATCTTATCATTCCTTTATCTTCGTTTGAATGTTTACTAACTTGAGCGTCGGAGGGTTTTCTAACTCTTTTTTGCAGGAACGGTTCGAAGTGAAGAATTCTGGAAATCAGGGGGAACCAGCGATGGGCAGGCTATACCATCGCTGGGAGGGAAGTTTTCTTTTTTTCAGAACCCCTCTTCCCATCGATGGGTGCTTCTTCCCATCGATGGGTAATTGACTCTTTTTTTAAAAAAATTCTTAACGGATTTCCAGAAACACCTTACCCATCGATGGGTATGTCTTCCCATCGCTGGGTGAAGGACTTTTGTCAAAAAAACTTTTTCAGAAACACCCTACCCATTGATGGGTCCTTTATCCCACCGCTGGGTGAGTGATTTCAGCTTTAAAAAAAAAATTTCCAGAACCTACCTACCCATCGATGGGGACTTTCTCCCATCGCTGGGTGTTTGTCACTATTTTTTAAAAGGTTTTAACGGATTTCCAGAATAAACCCTCCCATCGATGGGTGAATCCTACCATCGCTGGGAAGGCAGTTCAGTTTTCTCCTTCGCTTTCCAGTGGCAACCTTCCCATCGATGGGAAGATCTACCCATCGCTGGGAAGGCAGATGAAATTTAAATTCTCAGAACCGTTGGAACTACATTTATGGCCCAACAACTCTTTTTTTCAAAATTCAAACGGGATTTCCTCCTCTCCCTATAAATTCCCTTCACCCTTAGCCATTTTAAACACACTTTTATCCTCTCTAATTGCCTTGCTCAAGTCTATTCTACTCAACTCATTCATTTTCTTTTACACGCCTCAACCATGGACGGAGGAAAGAAGAGCAAGTCATCAAAGAAGAAGGTCACCGCCGAGGCTACGTCATCTGCGCCTCAACCCTTCCCGTACCTGGACGGATCCTTCTTGGAGTTCGGGTCGGAAGAGGAACTCTCTCGCTTCATCACCCACTTCGCCAAGCGCCCCATCTCTCCGCCAAGAGTGCTGCCCGAGATATACCCTCAACAAAAGGGGTACCACGACCTCGACAATCAACTCAAAGAGTCGGGTCTGTGGTCGTTCGTCTCCAGAAGCCATCAATCCTACAAACCCGCCTACGTCCGGGCTTTCTACTCAAATCTCCGCCGGGACGGGGACACCATTCGCAGTAGCATCAATCTCTACAACATAGAGATTGATTTGGCTACCTTCGCTCGGGTCGCAGGGCTGCCCACCCGCGGTGACGACATCGCAACATATGG